TGATATCTGCAGTCACTGAGCTTTGATAGAGACCCACTGATATCTGCAGTCTCTGAGCACCGATAGAGACCCACTGATATCTGCAGTCACTGAGCTTTGATAGAGACCCACTGATATCTGCAGTCTCTGAGCACCGATAGAGACCCACTGTATCTGCAGTCACTGAGCACTGATAGAGACCCACTGATATCTGCAGTGACTGAGCATCTATAGAGACCCACTGATATCTGTAGTCACTGAGCATTGATAGAGACCCACTGTATCTGCAGTCACTGAGCACCGACAGAGACCCACTGATATCTGTAGTCACTGAGCACCAATAGAGACCCACTGTATCTGCAGTCACTGAGCAATGGCTCTGTGTTAGCTGCTCACAGATGCCTAAAGTGGTATCTTTTACAAATTTTAGCCCTAAAATTTAATTTTAATTATAGTTATTAATACTTTTCTAAGTGAGAAATATGCAATTGCTTCCCGAGGTTTTAGCTGGGCTGGGCATGGTAGCTCACACCTGTAATCCCAGCACTTGGGAGGCTGAGGTAGGAGGATCCCTTAGCTCAGGAGTTGAAGACCAGGCCAACCAAGAGCAAGACCGTTTCTACTAAAAACAGAAAAATTAGCCCTGGGCGTGGCATCCATAACACAGTGGTTACAACACTGGCCACATACACTGAGGATGGCAGGCTGGAACCCAGGCTGGGCCAGTTAAACAACAATGACAACTACAACAGAAAAAGAGCCGGGTGTTGTGGCAGGTGCTTGTAGTCCCAGCTACTTGGGAGGCTGAGGCAAGAGAATTGCTTAAGCCCAAGAGTTTGAGGTTGCTGTGAGCTGTGACGCCACAGCACTCTACCCAGGGCAACGTAGTAAGACTGTCTCAAAAAAAAAAAAAAAAGAAAGAAAGAAAGAAAGAATGAATGAGAAAAATTAGCCCTGGGTGTCCCGGCAGGGGCCTGTAGTCCCAGCTATTTGACAGGCTGAGCCAAGAGGATTGCTTGAGTGATCCTGCTTAATAACACTCTAGCCTGGGTGGCAGAGTGAGACTCTGTCTCAAAACTCAAAAACACAATAAAACAAGGTTTTAGGCTGGTTTGAAACTGAGAACTTTTATCTTCTAATTTCCTCTGAACAGCCCTTGCGAGAGGCAGGTTTTGCTTGTGGCAGTGGAGGGAAGGGTCGTAAAGAGACCTGGAGTCCACCCATCATCCTGGGAACTGGCATAATTCTCTCCCTGCTCCAATCCCCTGGAACCATCTAGTGGAGGGCCTACCTAAGGATGACCATTGCCACTGGCAGCTATGGGGCAACTTATACTTTAATACTTATACTTCATTTAATACTTTCAACAATCCAGCAAGATGGTTAGCAATTAGTCCAGGTCACACCTGTGACAGAGCCAGGCCTGAACCCAGACCACCTTGCCCAGACAGGAGCTCTACCCACTGCCCTGCCACGAGTGAGTGGGTCTCTCAGGCCCGGGGACTTAGTCTCTGAGAGGGCACTCAGCACTGTCGGCTGAGTCCGTGAGTCACGGCGGAGGTGGTGTTCTGAGATGGGGAAGGAGTAGTGTGGCCAGAGACTCAGGAGGAAGGAGACATGTCACCGTCCCCACTCGCATCTCACATCTCCTCTCCTTGTTTACCTTATAATGCCAGCCAAAATGGGGCTAGGCCTGGGGAGCAAGGGCAGTCTAGGGAGGGGCTCTGGTTGTGGGAACATGAGTTCCATGGCCCCAAACAGCAAGTGGGTATGTGTAGGGCAGCAGGTGGGCACACAGGGGGCACGTGGGCACAAGCAGGGCAGCAGGTAGTTACGCTCAGGCCAGGTGGGCACATTCAAGGCAGATGGGCATGAACAAGAAAGCCAAGCAGAGGAAGGATGGGGCTGATGTCTGGATATGCACATACTCCACACAAGACAAGATACAGCTCTGAACTCAGGCAGGTGCTGGACGTCAGCAGGCACGAGGGGTGCAGCCAGAGCCGAGGTGCAGGAGTCACTGCACACCCTATAGTGACGACTGTCATTTGCCAGACTTGGCCTTAGAGGCCACTCTACTTAATAACACAAGTGGGGCCCAGAGGACAAACGGTGGACAAGGGTGCTCAAAGGGAATGATGAACTTCACACACACTCAGCAGGAATCCTCCACTTTGGGAACATAAAGAACCTTAATATCACTGAAATTAGCAGTGGCTTCTGTTGTTCCTCAGCCCTGCCACCCGCAGCAGGTCTCCTCACCCCACTCTTCCCTCGGTGGGGCCCCCAGTGCACAGGAAATGCTGGGGGTGCCCAAAATTCTCCAGTGGGAAAGGCTGAGCCCTTTTAAATGTAGTGGTTGCCAAGAAAAGGAAAATCAAATTCATTTCACATTGCTATTAAGCAGACGTGTGATTCGAAGTCAACTTTTGGATCCAAAAGATCTTTCCCACGTCAGGAGGGGCACATAAGTCTGAATCAGTAAGATCCTAAGAGGAGAAACTGCTTCCAGTTTAAATGGAAACCCTGGCCCCACTTAGGCTGATAGGAAGTATTTATTTTAGAAGGTCTAATTTCCTCTACTTCTGATTTTCTTATAAAGGGAAAAGTGTAAAAGCCTTGGTGTAAATATATATATTTGTGTGTGTGTGTGTGTGTATGGTGCCAGAACTGTATGTACATTTTAAAAAAGGAACTGTGAAACTCAATATGTACCAATAACAAAATAAATGCAAGTGACGTCGAACCCCTCTTAATAATTGCAGGAGTCAAACGTGACTTGATTATTACAAATTTAATAGTTTGTTTTCATTCTTAAAATGTGTATACATTTTTTGGCATCCTTTGTATATATAAAATATAAATTTATGTTTTTATATAAAAATTTTTCATTTTTTATACATTTTTTGTATTAAAAATTGTATATATTGGCTTGGCACCTGTGGCTCAAGTGGCTAAGGCGCCAGCCACATACACCTAAGGTGGTGGGTTCGAATCTAGCCTGGGCTCACTAAACAACAATGATGGCTGCAACCAAAAAATAGCCGGGCATTGTGGCAGGTGCCTGTGGTCCCAGCTACTTGGGAGGCTAAGGCAGGAGACTCGCTTGAGCCCAGGAGTTGGAGGTTGCTGTGAGCTGTGATGCCAGAGCACTCTACCCAGGGGGATAGCTTGAGGCTCTGTCTCAAAAAAAAAAAAAAAAAAAGTATATAAAAAGTATTTATAAATTTATACATATATATATATATATTAAAAATTTCCATTTTCACCATCAAAAAGGAAACCTCAGGATGGTAGAATTGGAACCAAATGGGGAGGGAGAGACATGGACGAAACATGTCCTCTAAGAGTCAGGCGGGCTCTGTGACATCTCCTGCTCCTGAAGCCCCAGAAGATAGGGAGGCCAAGACAGGCAGAACAGCAGCTCTCCCAGGCCTTGCAGAAGCCCTGCTGGCCCTTTCCAGCCCTTCCTTCCTGGTGGGCAGTTAGCTGTGCTTGCTGGAGTTGCCTTACTTAATGCGCCATAGAGGCAGCGTGGTGGCCGCGTGTCTGCAGCAGCAGGAGGTCATCACCACCCACAGGCTCTGCCAGCACCTGCTGAGCCCTGGGCAGGACAATGCCAGGGCATGGTCTCCCGTGTCCCAGCAGGCCGATGTAGGCCACCTGCCTTCCTGGCGGTAGTAGGTAGCTCAGGTAGCATCACAGACTCTTCAAATTCCACAGGTTCCAAAGTTGAAAGGGACCTAGGCTGTGCTGAATGGTTAACATTTGGGGAGGTAAATTAACTCTCAGGAACTTAAGAAACTTAACTTCTGCAGGCAGCTCACAGGCTCCAAGTTATGATCTAGTCTAGGGGTTGGCAAATCACAGCCTAAGAACCAAATATGGGATGCTGCCTGTTTTTGTAAATAAAGTTTTATTGAAATACAGCCACTTCCATTCATTTAATATTGTGGTCTATGGCTGCTTTCAAAGGACAAGGGCAGAATTAAGTAACTGCAACAGAAACCACTTGGCCTGTAGAACCTACAATATTTATTATCTGTCCCACGACAGAAAAAAGCCTCAACCCAGCAAGCATTGCTGTGACTAGCCCACATACCCACCTCACACCATCCCAGAGACACCTGACTGCTGGGCCTCATACCTGAAGGGCTTGCTGTCGGGGTCGGTGTCCTTGAACCCCATCTCCTCGAGCTTACAGCGTCGGTACAGCTCATAATGGCGGGTGTGAGTCTGTTCTCGCAAGTCCTCCATGTTCACACGGATCAGCATCTCCCGAAGTTTCACAAAATCACAATGGTTTTCATTTTCAACTGCAAGAGACACATGGGTGGAGGGGGGAGGCTGTCAGCCACAAGATCACTGAGAAGCTGCAGGAATGCTTCCAAGATGTTACCACACTCCTGAAATCTCTGAGGTCTCAAAGCCACCCGAAGGCTACTGGATTTACCTTACATTCTTAATAGACATGAGATTCCTGACAGTGCTGACTGGTACTGCTACTGAGAATGCTGACATCTGGTGCCTACTCAGTGCAGGGTGCCGGGTAGGAGCTTAACAAATGCTGTTGTACCCTTCATAAGAAGCAGACAAGGCAAATCTAGCTTCATAGGTGCAGAAGTCTGGCTAAGTCTGGTTGTGATAAGCAAGGTGACCTCTCTAACAGGGGAAAGAGTCTGATTCAAACACTGTGACACCCGGCTCTAAAGCCAGACCTAGTTCCACCCCTCCATGCTGTCTAGAACTGCGTAATTTTTATGTATCACCTCATTTAATCATAGCAACAAGACTGCAGCCATCCTGCATCATCTGTGGCACCAGTGTCCTTCAAACTTCAAAACACACATGGAGTCTTGGCTTCTCAAAATGACACTCCTGACATGTCTTCAAATTGAAGACTGTGCTTATGTCCCACAATGCCAAATACCATTCATATACCCTCAAAATTCTCAGTATTTCCTGAAATGACATTTATTGGAAGACAACTTTCCCAGAAATAGAAAAATAAACACCTCTTATTTGCAGGAGACATTTGCCACTTTTTTATACGTTGCTGATGAAACTGGTTCAAGTTTCTAGGGAACTCTTATTTGTTTTTAGACAGTCTTGCTCCGTTATTCTAGAGAGAGTACAGTGGCATCACTGTAGCTCACAGCAACCTCAAACTCCTGGGCTCAAGAGATCCTCCTTCCTTAGCCTCCCAGGCAGTTGGGACAACAGGTGCACACCACCATGCCCAGCAAATATTTCCATTTTAGAAGCAATGGGGTCTCACTCTTGCTCGGGCTGAACTCCTGTGCTGGAGCAGTTATTCACCTTAGCCTCACAGAGTGCTAGAGTTACAGGCATGGGCCACTGTGGTCAGCCAAGAACTCTTTTCTCCTAAGAATTCACAGGAATTCACACTGAATTTCCTAAACAACCCAACATCCTTGAAGGACTGCCTCATCCCAGCAGACACTTGTCCCCATGGTCTACCCACCTGATGGCTGTTTCTTTCTTCCTCATCTCCACTCCCACCAGATGTGGATGCCCCCACTCCCTCCCACTGCCCGCACTGCTGAGGACCTCCCTAAATGAAATTAGGGAGGGAAGGGTCCCTGTCCCATGCACATACCCTGTACCACGCCCCAGGGGTACTGCCTGGCCTTTGCCATCTTGTTGCCAATCTTCACCTCCTCAGTGCTGCCAACCACCGCAAACGGGAGATGGACCTGCCGAGCAACAAGGGGACAGAGAGTGGTCACCTCCCATCGCTCTGACGAAGACTGGTCCTCCACCAGCCTCCACACTCTACCACCCTCTGCAGGCCTCTACCTGGTACAAGAGGAAAGGCAGAGAGGGCAGGACAGGTAGGAGGAGGTCAGCGGGTGTGCGTCACATACCCTGCCCGCCACGACCAAACACCGGATACCTGCGATGAGCCTGAGGAAGCCTCAGATGTGTGCTGTCCCGTGAGCCCCTGACTGTGTGCGGCTACTGAGCACATATCACCAATAAACAGAATTTTTAACTTTTAACTTATTGACATTTAAATTTAAAACGGAAGCAGTGTAAAATATTTTTCCATTGAATATAACTATATTGCTTTTTTTTTGAGGCAGTCTCACTATGTTGCCCTCTGTAGAGTGCCATGGTGTCACTCCGGGCATGTGGCTGGTGCCGTTACCACTGTGCTACAGGTGCCGAGCCCTAACTCCAGCCCTATTGTCTGATAAAACTGCATTCTCTTTGCTTCAAACTCAAACCAAATCTTCCAAAAAGGAAGACCAGTTTTGTCAAGGTAGAACCAAACATTAAAGAAAAAGCATCTTTTATGGTACTTATTTCATACTGAAAAACTTGAAGGTATGACAGGAGAAACAAATAGGTGAATCTACTTTCCTAAATGTAAATTTTATAAAATGTAAATACAAATCTGATGAAAATTTAAAGTCTGGAATGAGATATGCTGTCATTATAAAATATACGTTGAATGTCAAAGACTTACTATTAAAATATCTCATTAATAATTTTTATATTTATAACATGCTGAAATGATTAACATTTTGGAACATATTGGGGTAAGTCATATTTCTTTTCACTTTTTCTTCTTTTTAGAGACAGAGTCTCACTTTATCGCCCTTTATCGTAGAGTGACATGGCGTCACAGCTGACAGCAACCTCTAACTCCTGTGCTTAGGCAATTCTCTTGCCTCAGCCTCCCAAGTAGCTGGGACTACAGGGGCCCACCACAATGCCCAGCTATTTTTTCATTGCAGTTTGGCTGGGGCCGGGTTTGAACCCGCCACCCTCAGTATATTGGGCCAGCGCCCTACTCACTGAGCTGCAGGCGCCCACCCCTCTTTACTTTGTTATTTATGTGGCTACTAGAAAATTTTAAAATGCTTGTGTGGCTCACATTATGTTTCCATTGAATGGCATTGCTTTTAACCGTTGGTCACTGTACACATTTTAAGTCAGAAACATACATTAGCCCAAATTATGGACAGAATCCTTGTATCCAGATTTATCGCAATCAAAGCTGTCCAAGACAACTGACTCCCTTGCATTCGTTTATTTGATAATTATGGCGACATTCTGGACTGGAAGAACTATCTTTTTTCCATGAGCATATGAGAATAGGGGGATTTGAAATAGCTGCTCCAATAATTATCACTCAGGGTCCTTTGATCCAGTGTTCTTTCTCTGCAGGTAAGTTGGGAAAGAGGGGAATGTCTTCCTAGCCAAATCCCCTCCCAGAGAAAGCCCGGCCTAGTGCTCAGCTCAGCTTGCTCAAGGGCATTTTGTGTATTGTCTGATGCTTGGGTATTTAAAGTCTCTGGTAGGAAGGAAAGAAAGCCTGTTCTCTTTCTAAACTCTAAGTCAGAAACTGAAATGTTTCCCTCAAGTTCAGGAACTTTGGGTTTTGACCAAGGAAACGTCTCCATCCAAATGTAACTAAAGGAACCACCAGTGGGATCAGTTTGCTCAGATTTCCACACTTCACAGGGAATTTCAATGGCAAGAAATGTTTGCAGTGAGGAGCCTACAAGAAAATGTCTTAATGAAGGGCAGAATTAATCTGGAATGCCCAGGTCTTCAGTTCTGTGAGTCTGATAAAGAGAGAAAGAACAAAGGTACATGGGTATTTTTTCTCCAAGAAGTTTTTTTTTTTTTTTTTGAGACAGAGTCTCAAGCTGTCACCCTGGATAGAGTGCTGTGACATCACAGCTCACAGCAATCTCAAACTCTTGGGCTTAAGAGATTGATTCTCTTGCCTCAGCCTCCCCAGTAGCTGGGACTACAGGAACCCACCACAACGCCTGGCTATTTTTTTTTGTTGCAGTTGTTTAGCTGGCCCAGGCTGGGCTCGAACCCGCCAGCCTCGGTGTATGTGGCCAGTGCCCTACCCACTGAGCTATGGGTGCCACCCTCCCTCCAAGAAGTTTAATGGAAATTTATTTCATGACCATAAAAAATTATTTGGAAGGATGGGAGAAATTAGATGACATTCATTCCTGTGACCTTCTGAATCCTGCCCTGACACCCCCACTGCAGTTCCGCAGCAGAGTAGCAGTGCCATCCAGCCTGTGTTGTACCTGGAAGCCAGACCTGCAGGGGCCCAACCCCTGATAGAGAAGGCGCAGTATTCGGGTATTACACGTGCTCATCACCTCGAGGTTACTTGTAAGATCTAACATAATGTAAGTGCCATGTAAATAGCTGTTATACTTTGTTTTTAAAAATTGTATTATTTTTCTTGTGGTATTTTGTAATTGTCTTTTTTCCCCCTGGAACATTTTTTTTTTTTTTTGAGACAGAGCCTTAAGCTGTCCTCCTGGGTAGAGTGCTGTGGCATCACAGCTCACAGCAACCTCCAACTCCTGGGCTCAAGCGGGTCTCCTGCCTCAGCCTCCCACATAGCTAGGACCACAGGCGCCCGCCACAACACCCAGCTATTTTTTTGGGGGGGGGTTGCAGCCATCATTGTTGTTTGGTAGGCCTGGGCTGGATTCGAACCCGCCACCTTAGGTGTATGTGGCTGGCACCTTAGCCAGTTGAGCCACAGGCGCCGAGCCTCCCCTGGAACATTTTAGACCTGTGGATAAGGAGGGCTGACCAGACGCTGCTGTACTCTGGGGACAGTTAGTAGAAAGCTGACAGCAAACTCCCCGGGCCACACCCTATGTCCAGTGCTGATAACCACACAAGCTTGGGGCTGTGTGCAGTCTCCTCGTATATGAGGGAGGAATAATAACGGTGCCTGTCCATCCACGAGACAGCTGTAAGGGTCAAAAGGGAAGGCTTGAACAGCCCCCGGTGGGCAGCAAATGCTCCACGTATGTCAAAAGTGTCAGGTGTCACTATTAATGTGTAGCTCCAAATCCCTGCACCCAGAGACTGTTAGAGGCGAAGAGATCTGACATATCATCCAGCTCAATCCTGTTTAAGAATTCTCTCTCTAGAGCAGCGCCTGTGGCTCAGTGAGTAGGGCACAGGCCCCATATACGGAGGTGGCAGGTTCAAACCCAGCCCCAGCCAAACTGCAACAAAAAAATAGCTGGGCATTATGGTGGGTGCCTGTAGTCCCAGGTACTCGGGAGGCTCGGGCAAGAGAATTGCCTAAGTGCAGGAGGTGGAGGTTGCTGTGAGCTGTGTGACACCACGGCGCTCTACTGAGGGCAATAAAGTGAGACTCAGTCTCTACAAAAAAAAAAGAAGAAGAAGAATTCTTCCATCTAGTGTCCTTCTAAGTGGGCTGAAACAGTCACATAATAATGGGACCAAGACCCTTCAGTGCTCTTTCACTCATTAGTTCATTTAGTTTTTATTTTATTTTTATTTTGGGGGACAGGATCTCATTCTATTGCCAGGCCAGAATACAGTGGTGTTATCATAGCTCACAGCAATCTCAAATGCTTGGGATTAAGAAATCCTCCTTCCTCACCCTCCTAAGTACCTAGGACTACGGTATCTACCACTATACCTGGCTAATTTTTCTTTTAGAGACAGAGTCTCACTTTTTTTTTGGTTGCAGCAATCATTGTTGTTTGGCGGGCCCAGGCTGGATTCAAACCCGCCACCTTAGGTGTATGTGTTAGCCACTTGAGCCACAGGTGCTGAGCTGCATTCCAGACTTTTAACTACCTTGAATTCTAACAACCATCACTGGGCACCTACTATGTGCAAAATATGTTGCTTTATGGAAGTTGTGTTCCCACAGGGAAAAGCTCTGTGACGGTGCTACGGCTCAAAGCTACACTATGCTGGGGACACACAACAGAGCAGTGCAGATTCACAGGCAAGAGGGGTTCACCAGGATGGGGGGCTCACCAAGAGGGGTCTAACCAGGAGGGGGCTCACCAGG